TGCTCACTAGGTGGCGGATAATTGTAGTGATATTCATTTCCGCTCCGAGTCGCAAAAGCTTCTTGTTCTCCTTCAGAGAGTGGGAAAGTGGGGATTCTTTCGTTATCTTCCCCTGGGATAGCAGAGACTCCATAACAAGACTTCCCTTTTCCTTTAGACTTCCTCCCGGATGACGAACCGACCCATTGTTCATCTCCAATCAAATCTGGATGAAACCAAAGGATTTCGCCATTTGGGGTTGTGTGCGGCACAAGTCCCTTTTGGCGCTGTCCGTGCGGATCGTCATTCACCGTCTTCATCCCGACTTTGGTGACGCGTTTTGGCTCGAACCAAGTTGTAGGCACCGACCCAAAACTGATTGACACTGCGTTGGCCCCCACATTCTTGGCTGGTTTCGGGGTTATGACTCCTACGTCGATTAACGCCTGGATCTTGTCCTTGAGGTGGTAGCATGATCTCGTAGGGTGGTGGACCGCTCTGTGGTACGCGCAGTACTTTGGATCCGTCACTTTGCTGGCCCCTTCTTGATCCACGATCGCCGGCAACTGGATCTTGTTGTTCTCCAACAGGTATTTGAAGATGCCGGGAACTTCATCATCCTTGAAGGAGTACACTTTAGGAAACCTCGGCTCCGCAGATTTCTGCTTCTGAGGCCGTTGTTGCCATTGTCCTCGAGATTGTTGGGGTGCTTGTTGCTGTGGCTGCTGTTGCTGTGGTTGCAATTGAAAGGTTTGATTAGCATCAACTGCATTAGCTTGTGCCTTACCTTTCCCCCGTGGGACGAAGTTTTGCTTTGGAGCACTTGTCGCCGGTTGGCCTCTTTCCGCCTTCTTCCTCTTAAGGAATCGCTCAGCTTGCTCTCCCCGGAGTTTCAAGTCCTTCCATGTATTGGATGGTGCCGTCCCCATTGCTTCTAGCACGTCCAACGCGAGGTTGTTGTGGCAGGTCTGGAGGATGAATTCCTCGGTGATCGGGTCCCGGCAATTCATCGCCTTGTTCCGGAATCTTTTGACGAAGGTATCGACTAACTCTCCGTCCTTCTGCTTCTCATCGAGCAACGATCCGATAGATATCTCGGTGTCGTCGTCGAAGAAGTTGGCCAGGAACTTGGTCTCCATGTCATCCCAGCTGTTTACGCTGCCTGGCTTGAGGCGGCGATACCAATCGAAGGCGGCTCCGCGAAGAGTGCCGACGAATGACCGCACCATCAGAGGCTCATTACCAGAGATCACCCCCAAGTGCGATTTGAAGTAAATCAAATGCTGGGTAGGTGAACCCATCCCATTAAACGGCGTGAAGTTAATTAGATTAAACTTCGCCGGATATGGGATCGATTCCCATTCTCTTGGGTATGGGCAAGGAATGCCTGTTTTCTTCGTCTCTTGAGCGGAAATTAGTGTGTTGATTTTGCTCTCGAGGTTCTTGATCTTCAGGTTTTCGCCGGTTTCTTCGCCAGCATTCTCATTACCACCCCCTGCGTTGCATTGACAGGATGATCATTAGTATTCTGAGCATTTGTATCCTCATCTTCCAGATTAACCGGGTTACGACGATTCTGCTCGCCTTGTTGGTTCGCCAATGCTTGGATTTGTTGGTCATGCATTTCTCTCATCTGCTGCATGGCCATCTCCATCTCAAATTTGAAACTTTCTTTCTGCTTAGCCAAAGCGTCTTCAAGCATCTTGGCCATCTGCTCCGCACTTATCATCAGGGCCTCGCGGGGTTGTCCCTCGCTGGATACTGTATTATCTGATGCCACCGCGGAGCCGGCATCAGATTCTTCATCTTCTGAAGGGCGTCTTGTCCGAACCCTACCATAGGTTGCTCGTTCGATGGTTCCGGACTGTAGACGGGTTCTAGGTCGGGAGGCTCTCAGAATTGACTCGAAATCATCTCGTGCCAATGTCTTCTTGCTCGTCATGTTGGTGGTGACCCTCGGAAATTCTCTGTCTTCAATCATCCTTCTTCTTCATTGGAAGCGCCTAGGCCTTGGTTTTGGCGTCTCCGCACTGAGTCTTTCAAAAACTGAAACTCTTTCGGGGACCGCCTTAATGCAATTGCATTCAGACAATACCGCCCGAATGAGTTTGGAACAGGGACATTGAATTTCCTGTTCTCGAGGACTCCTCTTCCTGGTTCTGTTCGTACTCCCAGCACGATAATACAACTCGTCATCTTGACAGTCGGAGTAACCTATCGTGTGCGGGCACGACTTCTCAGGTATAACACTATCACTATCAGATAATGTTTCCCTCTGAGGGTGGATCGCCTTCTTTGGGCTTTCAAAGGTTACACGCCTAGAAACATGCCTTCGTGGGCGCGAGTCTTCAGCGTGCTCTTGGACTTCGATGCGCAAGTTAGTGCGCGCAGCTGCCTTGAGCTCTTTGTTATGTTGGCGGTGATGGTGACCCCCAGCATTTTGAGTCGTTCTGGGCTTCTTCATCGGGCCCAAACGCTCGTGAACTGAAGCTTTGCCTCTCTCATCCGGAATTATACCGAGGCGCTCTAAAATTGATTTCTTCTTGCGGGATGACTCTGCATGATCTCCCGGAGAAGTTATTGGGATTAACGGCAACTTTGGTTGATTCGCCGGAGTTTGGCCTTGCTTTGAAGGCTGCAATGGCTGCTTTTTGGCCTGGGTCGCCACTTCAGACTTAGGCTTCCAGACTTGGCGGGTTGGTGGTGGCTTCTTCGCCTCCTCCTTTTGCAGTCTTCTACGGGCTTCCTGAGCTTGAGCCTGTGCCTGCGCTGACATCGCGCGGCGCTTGCGAATACGCTCTTCAAGTGTCGAACGGTTCCGTTTGACGCGGACCCATTCGTTCTTTGGCGGCTTGGAAGAGTCGCCGTTCATTGGTGGTTGAGGCTGTTTGCCTCTTCTGTTCTTCAACTCCGCGTTGTAGCGGAATCCGTCCATAGACTCCATCGCCTTAGCGAGTTGCCGCGCAAGGCGTTGACGACGCCTCTGGCGGGCTCTCTTTGAGAGAGTCACAACGCCCTGAACAGTGGAGGCGTTGGCGGGAGTTGGGTTGACCTGATTGGAGGTCGGTGGAACTTCATCTGACGCGACTTTGGCGTCAGCTGGGTTGAGAGCTTCGTTGATTTTCCGGGCAGCTTCAAACCAACGAACGTTTCTCCCGGAGGAGAACTTCTTAGACTTGCGGGGGGAGGTAGATCCGGACGAGGACACGTACTCCTCGAACTTGGCTTGGTCGAACTCGTACTCGACCTCCTCCACGACCGGGATTGCAATCCGCGGCTGCGACGCATCAATCTCGTTGGCGAGATCGTCGGCTCCCACTGTGGTCGCCAGATTGTTCGCGTGGAAAACTGTTTTCTTTTTCATTGAGATAATTGTCATCTTGGATTACAAAGATCCGGTCTTTTATAGATCCGGTTACAACTAAATCAAAGAAAATAAAGAAAAATTACAACTCTCCTCTGTGAACAAATCACGAGCTCCTGTTTTGCGGTCGCTCGCTTTGGTGGGTTCTTTGCCTGCGCCGGGATTAATCCGTGGACCACCGCGCGATCTAGATCCGGTCGGATCTACACGAGTATGCGGGTATTATTCCACGAAGGGAATAATAGCCGGGAGGGATTAATCCACCAAGGGAATAATCGCTCGGATCTCGAGATCTAAGACCAAGCTTAGATCTGGAGTGTAGTCTCGTGTAGATCTCAGATCTGTTCTTTCTTCCTCTCGAGATCCTGCCTTTTCTGACGTGGATGGTCGCCGAGGATCAGATCCGAATGTGCAAGTCTTCTGGTCTTCAAAGCTCCGAGTTCACTCTTCAATCCGGCAGAGTTTCGGCTCTTGAAAGTTCGACCTCCGAAAATGAACATCTCTAGGCCTATTTATAGGCTCTCAGGACAGTGGCTGCAAAAAGAGAATTGTCGGCCACCTCTGGCCACTGTCGGCCACCTCGGGCCACTGTCGGCCACCTCGGGGAGTCCGAAACTGATCTTGATTCGATCGTGATTCGTCTGAGTCTGTTCTTGGTTGGATGACTCGTTGATTCTTTGACACTTTGCTTGATTCCGAACGCGTATGGATGCATTCCGTCGCTTGCGTGCGATTCGTCGATCTCGTCGCCTCGTTGGTTCGTCGGTTTATGCCGAACTGTGCTAAGGGACCTATAAGCAATTTTATATGCCTACACATCCTAGACAAAATTTTCGTCTGGGATACTCATCCTAGACGGAATTTCCGTCTAGGAAAAAAAAGTATCCTAGACGGAATTTTGAGTATCCTAGAAAGAATCTCCGTCTAGGATGCTATGCTACAGTAGTTTTTTTTTGTGAACCTACTCAATTAATACCAAAGATACACATGCAATTAAGCCTAATAAAATATTTCCTTAATACAGATATCAACAAGATATTAGAGCCATTATATACTCATAAATTTTCAATGTACCAAATTTTGCATAAATCATTCCTAATCCGATACAGGAGAGCACACATACAATAATCTGAAATGTAAATGCTCGTATTAAAATTATGGTTCAAGTGGAAACTGAAAGCTTTATGAATACAAGTAATTTAACACCCTATGATTAGTCAACGCAGGCATGATACTTAATGCATCCATCAACAGTCTCAACAACAAGTTGCTTCATGCGCAAAAGCAGCAGCAAGTAAGATCGCCCCTTGTGGCCTAAAAAAAGTGAAAGAAAAAAAATATTAGATCTCTCAGCCTGACACAAAACTTTAAGCAAAGTACCTTTGATCTGCAGAAAAATGAAAATGACATTTCAATATCTACTAGGAAACAACATTTTGTAACGGCTAACAGTGATGGGTACATGAAAATTGTGGTTACAAGACAATATTATGACAAAAAAAAAATGATATAATTACATGTAAATTCTCAAAGTATCTGAAAACACACTAGCACACTAAACACAAGATTAAGGCTCAAAGCTTTAGTATTGCGAAGGAGATTAGAACAACACATAAACAGAGAGCTGAAAACAATAAAAACATGAAACAAAAGAAAAACTTGTCAACAAGAGTATGCAAACATCTATGACAAGTTTCAACTCAGATTTGTAAGAAGCATGTCGTTCCAGCTTGTCGGTGTCAATCATGGATACATAGCTATTGTGGATTTCCTATCTTACAAAAAATTGGCATTTACACATAGTGCAGAGGATAGAAAATCAAACAAATTTTCCCATGAAGCCACATATAAGTTAGGGGATAAATAGAGTCTTGGTTCTTGTAAAATCAAGACAGCCAACACAATAAATCCAAACACCAAATAAAGAACCACTTATGCAACAACCAGTTAATTTTCAACTACAATAGAACTTATGGACCCTATAAAAATCAAAATTTGTCATGTATCTACCTTTTTATTTAATTATTGTGTAAAGAATAATCCTGCATGGGAGAGTTAATGGGCAAACAAACCTATACTGGTGCGGAGTTTTAAATATATCACATCTCCTTGACCCCTGCTCCCCTTGCTCAACCTATCTTGCAGAGAATGCCTAAGAGCACCTATACAAGCAAACACACTATTTTCAACATTCAGCTAAAAGTTGTTAAGCTTAACAATATTCTAAATATTCAAGTTTACTGAACCTCTTTGCAAACTCAAGAACTGCAGAGCCATCATTGAAATTCCCGACTATATGCTGATGTGATAAAGAACTTGTAGGATAGTTCTCAAGGGGATCCAAAGTGAGCACTTTGATCCCTATTTGACTCGCTGCTTGGCAGAGCATTTGACCCAACTGCCCGCCTCCCAATATGCCAACAAGCATTTCCGACACCTTATGAACTGATAAACAATCCTCTCTGCATGAATGTAATAAGTAGCATATGATAGACAAATTCTTTCTTGTTTACAAACATGACGAAACTCAAACAAACATATATAATTCCATCGAACTCGACAACACCCATTTGAGAAAAAAGAGTTTTCCATCGAACTCGACAACATGGCCAAGATACTGAAGTGCGCCAGGAATGACAATATACAAGTCACAAAATCTCACCCCAAAAAAAAAGGGGAACTAAAATTACAAAAAAAAAAAAGAAAATCACAGAATCAAACTCCAAGAACTACAAACTTACCCTGAAATCCCCATCGACAAGAAGAGCCTCATGTTCACGTAGTTGGACCACGAAATCCCCATCGCCAGCAAAACCCTCCTCCCCGACGACCACATGCCCCTATATAGTTCTATTTATTGAGAATAGACCCTTGTAGTATTGGCAGTTTGGCACAAGTGCGAATATACCTGGTTATTGAACTTTTTTAACTTTTTAAAAAATGAAAAAAGAAAAAGAAAAAGAAAAAGTAATTATGGGTCTATCCTCACCAATATATATATATGGGGTCAATCAGCCTCCTCAAACCTTTTTATGGATTTAAGAGTGATAAAAAATCAATCTAGAGGTCTGTCCACAACAAATAGCAAACTAGACAGAAAAATTTCCGTCTAGGATATTCCGTCTAGGATGTGGGTTTTTCTACTAGTGACAATATATAATAAAATTAACACATAACTAATAAATGTAACCGTTAAGGGTGAAACATATAAACCAGAAATCGAACACATAATAATGAAAGTTAACATCTACTAACTATAGTTAACATGAACATAGGAAAATTAATATATATGTGAGAGTTAACATCTGCAGCAAAACGTCATAATGATTGAATGTAATACCTAATGCTATTAGGTCTCATGTTTATGAGCCTACTATCTAATCTAGTTTTAATGATTAACAAAGAATTACTAACATCATTTGTCGAGTGTTTGTTTTTACTTATTAGGTATTCTATACAAAGATCCTTGTCGGAGGTTGGATGGATTTGCGCCTACACAATCATATTCATTAGAGGATGGAAGAAATTTGGAATGGAGCATGATGCATTCAAGTCCAAGACACACTATTGCTTCATCCATACTACAAAGAGGAGAATTGCCTAAGATCAAGCGTTAAATATCATTTAGCTTGGGTATATCAATTAGTTTAGTATGTTTATACTTTGTGTGTTTATACTTAGAGCTCAAATTATACACATACATAGTTTACGTTTTATTGCTTTCAAATGTAGCCATGTAAATATGAAACAAATGGATATAGCTATATGTACACAGATTTGTTTCATGTTTATACGTGATTGAAATAATTTCATTAAAAAATCAAGCTTTAACAATTTCAAATCAATGAAGTCATGTTTACCGTTTTCATATATTTAAAAGTTAGCACAATATGTATTTATAGATTAAAAGACTTGATTATTTCTTTTATACAGTCTATTAATCCATTCAAAAGAAGTTTCAAACTTGTTTGAAATTATTTTGTCAAAATCATGTGTTTTTGAGATTTCATATTTTGACCAATTTTACAAAATGACGAGTTTTCATAAATGGAAAATGTAATTTAAAAAATTCTTTTTTAACATGTTTATTTTTATGTTTATAAACATTTTCCAAAGTTCTATAATTTTTAGAATTTATTTGCTATTTTTAAAGGGGTTTAAAGTTTAAATTCATGATATACCATGTACACGTTATTAGTCGACTGATGAAATTATCAGTCGACCGATGAAATTATTAGTTGACCGATGAAATCGGCTGGAAAAGCAGAAAGTTTCTGCTTAGTCGACTGATGAACCATCAGTCGACTGATGCAGGTTATCAGTCGACTGATGAGTTCATCAGTCAATCGTTGAAGGATAAACGGCCTGTAATAGTCAGCTCATCAGTCGACTGATGAATAATATCGGTCGACTAATGGCACTGTAACGGCTAGTTTTCCAGCTTCCTGATTTTCGGGTTTAGATTTTCTTGGGTTTTGGACTTTGTTTTATGAACTTATATATACCCCTTAGCCTCTAACTTCTGAACTAACTAAGAAAATTAAAATACAAGTTTTGGGCAAGTTTGTTTAGTATTTTAAAGTGTTTTACAAGTGTTTATGTGAAGTGGTTTTCACAAGAGGAAGAAGAGATCATCTATTTTGTGTTTGGGCCTCAATCTCAATGTCCTTAACTCTTGTTTTTCTTAGAAGTTTTCTCTAACCTTAATTTCTAACTTTATATATTTTTTGATTAACAATTTTATTATGCTAGATTTCATATTGAGTTTAGTTTTGGTTATTGCTCATTGTTTACACACACACCCCTTGAGCTTAAGTATTTTAACATATAGTATAACTATTGGATTATGGAGTTGTAATATTGAGAGTGAGCTTACACTTAGTTCTCATCCTTGTTTTAGAGAACACACAATTATATTTTCACTTAATTATCGAGAAAATATTGTAATACACAAGGACACCGAGAGAAATGGTGGGTTAGAGACGGGGTCAATTCCAAGAGGAGTGGTGTTGGTAGTAAAGCCTAGGGAGAGATTGTAAATCCAAGCACTTGAGGAAGTTGACATAGGCTAGGCCAATACTTAGAGGGTGCATTGTGTGATTATAATAGTGTGAGTTATAAACATTTATCAGTGAGCGTTGAAAATCGATTGTGTAGCTTTTCATGATATAGTGGAGATTCTCCTCGAAGGTGAGGAGCGGAGACGTAGGTCGTGGGTCGACCGAACTCTGTGATCATTTATTTATGTTTGAGTTTGGTATTGACGCACTCTTTCTCTTGTATACTTTCATATCGCCTTTTGTCTCATGTTTATATCGCCCTTGTTTATTTTTATATCCTTGCATATATTACTTGTACACATCATATTATTAGGATATTGTTAGTAAGTTTTAATTTGGCATTAAAATCATATTAGATAAGCAATTACCCTATTCGACCCCTTCTAGAGTAATTTCAAATACTTGGGAAGAATGCATTTGCCTACTGCTCTAGTGAGTAATTAATTGTAATCTCATATGCAGCTGAAGACATCTCATAAATTTTCTTCTTGTAGTCATTCCATTCCGCTATAGTGTATTCATAGCAAGCAGATTAGAGAAAATTCCCCAAAACTTGTGTGTCCTTTGTCTTCATTCCCAAATCCTTTGACTTTGATCTGAAATTTTTAACCAGGTGTAGAACACATCTTGAGTGAATTGCTTTAGGAAAATATTCTCTCACGGCTTTTCGAATCTCCTTGTTGGCATTAAAAATAATTACCAATTGGTGGGGAGGATTGTATAGGTCTAACCTTTTACACAGTATAGACCACAGACCTTGAAGGAACCATCTCTAATTAGCTACATTTTCCTGATCACATATGCAATACGCAAGTAAAAATATTCCTTAGTATCCGTCGTATGCTATGATGCTGAGGAGCATGCTTTTATATCAATCTTTCAAAAAGGTCTCATCCAAATATAATATGGGTCTACATCCATTTAAGAAACCAATGATGTAAGTAGCATAATATATGAACAGTCTTTTGAACCTTCCTTCATTATGTTCAATACAAATGTAGCTTCCTGGATTCATTTCCTTCACTATGTGCTCATACATGTACATCAATGTCACCATATTTCATGTAAATATATGCGATGCCCCAGGGTTCACACAAGGCTGCAGTCCTAGATGAAACCCGGATTGTCAAACCTACCAAGCACCAACCACCATGCTACAACATGTTTCACCATCACGATCACTATCTCTCTAGTGGAAATAATAAATAGGTGAAGGTAGAGACAGACAAAAATAGAAATAGGCAACACTGGATATATACAGAAGAAGCATAATAAATATCAATAATGGGCCCAACTGAAATAGAATAGAAATATCTCTGAGTATAATCAACTACATGTGGAGTTCTGCAATAACTACAAAGTATAATAAGTAGCTAAATGAACAACTAGGAAGACCCATCAACCTGCGACTCTCTGTGCGCCAGACTCACTACCTGAATGAGGAGAAACAACGAGCATCAAAGCCCTAGCGAGATCATTACTACCTCTCCCTAGGGGAAGGGGTAGGAGTATATAAGAAAATAGAGTCAGTACATGCATATATCAAATCATTTATATAGCTCTCTAAGAATGAAAAATAAATAGTCAAGGAAACATACTCCAATCTCCAACATAAAGAATAAATATCTTATCTCGAACTATATCCGAGTAGCCTGCTCTAATATAAGAGGATGCCAACCAAACTAACTCGAATATAACTACCGTCCATAACGGGTGTGCCAAAATCTCAAAAGAAATACCCTACTCGTGGGTAATCTATCATAGAAGTAAAACTTACAGCTGATCAAATATCTATGTGTGCATCATCTTGTGCTATACCGATACTCTTGTAATACTCTTACTCAATCGCTCTGCGGCAATATGATTTATTATCTCCCTATTCCGGATATATGTAATAACGATACTATTGTAATACTCTTTGTAATGACCGTAAATTTTTAATACCGGTTTAAATAATTTTTCTGGTATTTAAATATTAAATTTTATTTTTAAAAAGAGTATTTGAATTTTTCCTAATTTTCTAGAATTTTTATGATTTAAAAATCTAATTTTATATTTATGATTTTGATAACTATAAATTAATTTGTTGCAGTAAAAATCTTTTTAATTAATTTTGGTTATTTATTATTATTGTTATTAATCATCTTGTATTATATTTTTAGCCTGCATTTTTATCCCCTACTGTTAGACCCTAGAGGGGGGGTGATTAGGGTCTTATGCTAATCTAATCCGATTAAATGCTAATTAAAATTAATTAACAAGTTATCCTAGCAAGTATGAAATACCACAAGATATATGAGCTAGGATAAGCAATGTAAACAAAGAGATATATCCTATATGATGAAATATACGCAAGGATATATAAGCTAGCACAAGATAATATATCCTACCAAAGAGATATACAATATGATATATAAAAGGATATGCAAACACAAGGGTAACATAAACAAATGAAATAGTGGATGAAATAAACAATGAGAGAAAGGCTATAAAGATGAACAAATATAAGTGCTAAGCCAAACTCAAACAAGCAATATGATCACGGAGTTCGGACCTTCCGTCCTACGTCTCCGCTCCCCACTCCCGGGGAGAAATCCACTATCACAACCGGGTTTTCTACGTTCACCCGAATGACGTTTACACCTCACACTCGGTTTTCTAGCTAACCGAAAACTTTACAATCAACACTCTTGCAATCACACTCTACACCCTCACAAGTGTTGGACCTAGCGAGTCTCCCTCAAGTGCT